ATGGCACCCTCCACAAGCACCTGACATGCATGGTACCCTCCACAAGCACCTGCCACACATGGTACCCTCCACAAGCACCTGCCACACATTGTACCCTCCACAAGCGCCTGACATGCATGGTACCCTCCACAAGCGCCTGCCACACATGGTACCCTCCACAAGCGCCTGCCACACATGGCACCCTCCACAAGCGCCTGCCACACATGGTACCCTCCACAAGCGCCTGCCACACATGGTACCCTCCACAAGCGCCTGACATGCATGGTACCCTCCACAAGCGCCTGCTGGTGGACATGTCCACAGGGGAGTCTTCTCCCATGCCACTCCTCCTTTGCTTCTCTTAGAGTTGATCTTGGTTGCTTAGCTATAAGAATTCAATTATGCACTCCATAATTAGTGACTGGAATTTAAAACAGGAAAAATAGATACTGATCAATGAAAAAGAAAAAGATTCTGCTGTTTAGACATTAAATGTCCCCCAAAGACCAATGTAGGAAAATCTTAGTCTCTAGGTGGTAGTGCAGTGGTTCTCAACCTTCCTAATGCTGTGACCCTTTAATACGGTTCCTCATGTTGTGGTGACCCCCAACCATAAAACTATTTTCAGTGCTACTTCATAACTGTAGTTTTTTGTTTTGTTTGTTTGTTTGTTTGTTTTACGAGACAGGGTTTCTCTGTATTGTTTTGGAGGCTGTCAGTACATCCTGGCCTCGAACTCACAGAGATCCGCCTGCCTCTGCCTCCCGAGTGCTGGGATTAAAGGCGTGCGCCACCATCGCCCGGCCATAACTGTAGTTCTGCTACTATTATGAATCATAATTTAAATACAGGTATTTTCTGATGGTCTTAGGTGACCTCTGTAAAAGGGTCGTTTGACCCCCAAAGGGGTCACAACACACCGGTTGAGAAAGAACTACAGGCCTAGTGGGAGGCCCTCGGGTCATGGGAAATGTGTTCTAAAGGGGTATAGGACCCTGGTCTTCCCTCCTCCTCTCATGGGAAATGTGTTCTAAAGGGGTATAGGACCCTGGTCTCCCCTCCTCCTCTTTTTTTCCAATCTGGACACCAGGACACAAACAGGTTTCCTGTTCCACAGGCTGAGATGCTGTCTTGCAACAGGCACCAGCCAGTCATGGACTAAGCCCTCCAATGCTGTAAGCCAAAATAAATGTTTGCTCTTTTTAAGATGCTTATCTCAGGTATTTTGTTACACAGTCATGGAAAGTTGAGTAACACAGTCTTCCTTCTCATAATTTACAAATAAATAAAATTGACAAACACCTAACCAAATTCAATGGAAAAAAGTAGATATAAAACATTAATTTCAGAAATAAAACCAGGGACATCACCATAGACCCTGAAGCCATAAGATGGATAAAAGTGATATTACCAATAGCGCTACACTTACAAACCTTGATACCTTGGAATAAATGAACCCATTTCTGAGCAACCATAAACAACCCAAACTCAAACAAGAGGAAAATAGACCAAAAGTCTACAATTAAAGAAACTAGATTTGCCATGTAAAGGTTCCTAAAAAAAGATTTCTCCAGCCTCAAATAAGTCTACTATAGATCGACCAAATATCTAAGGAAACATTTAAGAAATTTAAATTTAAGGTTAAGGAGAATTAATGTGTAATCTCTTTCAGGAAGACCCTTTCACAATTCACTTTACAAAGAACTACCCTGAAATCAAAGTCACATAGTGTACCATGAAAACTACCAGTAAGTATCGCCCAGGTATCCAGAGGTAAAAATAAGCAAATGGAACTCAGTGATGTCTAAAGTAAGTGGTATACCACATGAGAATGTGTATTAGCACAAACATGGAGAACAGAATAGAGTCAAACACCACTGTGCAGTCCACAGGTAAACCCAATGATTTATCAATTAAAAGCAAAACTTTTAACTTAGATATATAAAGATAATTCATGAGCAAGTAACAGTTATTCCAGACAGGTCTGGCTCCATACCAAGAAAGTCAATGTAACTCTCGGAATCCCAGCAAGTAAGTGCCAAGGCAACTTCCCTGAATGTTCGTCCCATATCAAAACTCTGCCACGCTGGTGGCAATAGTCTGGGTTCCATCCAGACCCACTGCCTGCCCTACCCCATCCTAGCCCTTACCACAGGGTTAGGACACAGACACATGGCTGTGATCTGTCCTGGGCTTTCACATGTGTGACAGGGAACATAATTAGCACCAGGCGTCTGGACAAAGGCTCTGAGGCTCTTCTAGAACTATGCTCCACCAAGGACTTGCCTGGAGTAGAAAGAACCTTCCTCACTTTGTGAATCCAGAGAACAAGGAGACAGAGCACCCGTCCCTGGAGAATGGGAGGGAGAGGTGAGGAAGCCAACCCACATACGGAAGCTCATTCTGTTCTCAATCCAGGCTAAGGGCAGGGCGGGCACACTGGCCACAGGGGGAACTAAGCCCAGGCTTTCTGTGCAAACAGAAGCTCTGAGCTGGCCCTTTGGTGCCTGCCTGTAAAGGAGGATTCAGTAGTTCGAGGCTCCACAGGCTGTGTGCTGAGTTTCAAACAGGCCTGGCCTTCTTAAAATGACCTTGTCTCCAAAAGCCAATGAGAGTGGGAATATGGAGGAAGGGAGGAAGGGAATTGAAGAAAAGTGGGGAGGGGAGACGTGGAAGGGGAAGTCTTCCCAAGGGCTGTGACTAGCCGCAATTCTGCTCCTTTTGATAGTAAAGTTACCCTAGAGTTTTGAAGCAAACTTGGAAAACCCCAATCCAGGTCGAAACAAATGTAAACTCAAGTTCAACAGGCTCTGTCTGAAGTTGTGAGGAGTCATTTAACTCCCACCTGGACAGGGACTGATTGGCAGCAGGAGGGCAGGCTCTGGAGAGGGTTTCTCCAACCTTTGCTGATTGCAAGTGCTGAAGAGAAACCAGGCCATAGGCAGCATAGACCTTTCCATGAGAATGGACACAGTAGTCAGGTGTCCTTAAGCAACCCCCAGCAGGTGCAGCATCAGACACACTTCCATGGCAGAGGGGTCCTGCAGCTGGCACAGTTACTGTGGGGAGGGTTTCTCTAGAGCCACCTCGAGATGAACCACAGCTCTGGAAACTACGGGAAGGAAGGGGTCCATGTAGACACACAGAAGCCCATGCCAGCAACTGCTTCAGCAGAGAGCCGGTATCCAGGGCGCCCTGCTCGAGGTCCTGGGAGAAGAGTTAAAGAGGGTTGAGAAGTTGATAAGGTAAAAGGAAGCGCACTCCTGGATCCCGCCCCTGCTCTCTGCATTCCAGCCGCCTCCCTGTGCATGCAGAGCCCTGAGCCCCGCAGACTGGAGACAAGACACACCGACCAGCAGTTTGTCCTAAAAGTCTCCAGATCACCTCTGCACTTGACACAGATTGTCTTCTAGAATCACATGGAAGGTAAGACTTTGGGTTCTTGTCACACTTCCCTAACCTTCCCATGTCTTATCCTGAAGTAAACAAAAAGCAGACAGTACAAGCCAGTGGGAGTTTGCAAGGCAGTGAACTCAGCATCCCGTCCAGTTTGCTTTCCTCCAACAACACAAAACACCAATGCTGCTCAGATATTCCAAAGTACAGTCAGCTCCACTGTGTCGTCAAACAGACAAGTTTTGTCCTACACAGGTCTCTGCGTTCTTTCCAAAGTTGGTTCATAACTTTCAGAGGAAACCAGGCAAGACTTAATCCTAAAGCAATTCTTTACTCTGAATTAAAAAATAAAAATTAAAAATTGGCCGGGTAGTGGTGGCACATGCCTTTAATCCAAGCACTTGCACAGCAGAGGCAGGCAGATCTCTGTGAGTTTGAGACCAGCCTGGTCTACACAGCTAGGTCCTTGACAGCCAGGGTCACACAGAGAAACCCTGTATTGAAAAGCAAAACAAACAAACAACCTACAAACTAAAAACCTAACAGATAAAAAGTTAAAATTGCTGCAACGCCATTTCATACCATGCTGTACTATAGCACTAAATTTTTCTTGAGTCTAGTTTTGCTGTTCTATTTTAAATAGGCCTCAAAGAAGAAATTTCAAATGCAGGATTCATTTAAGACATCCTGACACTGACTGATTTCTAAAGCATTTTTCAAGGGGTGTGAGATCCCAGCATGCACGTAGCAGGTGGAGAGTGGGAGGCAGGATTTAAACACTGAGTCACAGCACGGTGTGCACCTACTGCACAGGTAAGTGGTGTCACATGGTGACTCTAACAGGAGAGTCACATACATCATGCACACCTGTTGAAGTCTGGAGGAAATACTGGAAGGAAATATAACACCCACAAAAAAACAAGGTCCAGCTGGCTTCCTGGTTCCTGTCCTATGCACTCTGCAAGGAGCTGTGGTGCTTCATCTAGTGTGGGTGGTCCAAGGCAAGCACTGTCCTCACCTGAGAACCAGGCAGCCCCTCATATACTTTACTATGACCTGCACGGACGTGGCTGCTGTACGTTTGATCCACAAAGAAGACAAGCCTATTACTAACAAGTTTAGTATTTATCACGGCTTTCCTCGGTTCTTGAAATAAGCTGTGTTCTTTAAGGGGGTACAAGCTTACATTGTACAAAAAGAATACATTCTCATGCTGAAAAGATTTGACACCAGGAGGTAAAAATCTGTCTGTGGGAAAATGCAACATGTCACAAATAGGTAATTTTGTACAGAGGGCAGGGAAGGCTTTCAATTGTGTCTCACTATTAAATAATGACTTAGAGAGAGGGATCTCTCAGACAGGGAACTGCTATGTTGTTTTGTTTCCAAATAGAAGGCCGTGGGTCTCCAGAAGAGAGCAAGGAGCCCTGAGTGTCCTCTAACTTTGACAGACCCAGAAAGTAACTCCTTTCCTGCTCGACCATGGAGGCATGGAGGAAAGAGGGGAAGAAAGGAAAGGAGGGATGGAAGGAAGGGGAATGGAGGAAGGGACACAGGGAGGAAGGAGACGGATGGGACGGAGGCCAGAAGGAACAGGAGAGTAAAAAGGGACACAGGGCACGAACCTCCACCAGTCTCCAGGCCTCGCTGATGATGGCATACTGCAGGCGGTTCAGGACGAAGCCATCGATCTCCTTCAGGAGTCTCACCGGGGACTGTCCAATCCTCCTCATCAAGGCATAGGTTCTGTCCATTGTGGCTGGAGCTGTCTCTGGGTGAGGGACTAGCTCAACCAGCGGGACATAGTATGGTGGATTGACCTTTTGAGAGGGAGAGAAGAATAAGAGGATCAAGGCCATGGCAGACAGTGGGGTGTTAATCTGGTCCACTGCACCTCACCCGTGTCCAGTAGCAAGTGGGGTAGGAGCAACTTTGGAAAGGCCCCTGGCTTCCACACCCAAGATAAGACTTGAGTAAGGGCTACATGGACGGGGAGGGGTTTTGTTTTTGAAAAGAGCACACAAGGTACGCCTTGCCATCCTGCATACATTTGTGGAGAGCCCCAAGCCCTCCTGCCTCCCAGGACAAGGGTTCTACACTAGTAATTGACATAGCTTTACCCGTCCCCACTGTCCAGAGCCACCTTCCCATCCTAGACTCCTCACACTTGACCGTTCTCTGCCTGTGTTAAGAGCATGAGCAGGACGGCCAGCTGTGATGGTTCATGTTTGTAACCCCAAAGCCTGGGAGTTGGCAGCAGAGGGCAGGTGACACTAGCTTTGTCTGTGTAGTGAGTTCTAAACCAGCCTGGACTACAGATGAACTGCACTTCAGTGCATAATGGAGAAACTAGGGTCTGGGGTCTTTGCAGCACTGTGGGTGTCACAGATGGTGAAAACAAGCCTGCATCTCTTGATATGGAGATATTTTGTTCTGCTGATACATTGTAGGGTGTGCAGTGGCAGGGACTGGAGAGAGAACTGATATTTAAGGGGTAAGCCTCCTTCAAGAAGGGAAGGTGTTCAAGATGGATAGTCAGTAAAAACAGAAAGGTATTCTCAAATTTAATGCCTCTGAGCCACCCCCTTAGGATGGTTAAAGTCATCAATTTTATGGTAGTGCTCTGATCTCCCCACCTCCAGCTCCAAATTCTGGCATGATCCCCTGTGGCCAGTTTAGAAGCTGTACAGCTGAGGTATGGTGGTGCATGCCTTTAATCCCAGCACCTAGCACTCATGAGTAGCTAGGCTTCTGTGATTTTGAGGCCAGCCTTGTCTACACAGAGTCCCAGGCCAGCTAGCGCTACATAGTAAGACCCTGTCTCAAAAAAAAAAGTGGTACAGCTATCAAGCATTGGACCTCTCAGACCTCCCGAGATGGAACCTGATCGCCCTCCTGTCCCTCCAGGAGGCTCCAGGTAGGATGGTATCACTCCACCCACAGCACTTGGCCTCTGGCAATGAAATCAATCCCTGTTTGGAGTCAGAGACGAGCAGAGACAAGCCTTGGGCCATACAGTGGACAGAGAAAAGGGTAGAACAAAATGCCATGACAGAGGCAGCCAACGTCAGATGGTGGTACCACTTCTAAGCCTACCCAGGGTGGTATTCTTCTCATGGGTCCGACCAAGGCAGGGTCTCCAGGCACTACAGACGTCATCCTCCAGAGGCCATCCATAGGGGCTGTTCCTCTCAAGCTTCCTGGGAAGTGAGCTGAAGACCCCCATGTTCTGTGCCTAGCCCCCCTCTAGCCAGGTGCCAGGATGCCTAGAAGCAAATGTGCACATCACAACAGGGCTCCCTCAGTCAAGGGCGTACTACAATTCGATTAACTTGGTGTCCAACCAGAAGGTACCGCCACAGAAAAGGTACAGGGAGCTGGCCTTTCCTCCCAGCTCCCAAGAGGCTAAGGCAGGAGAGTCTCCAGCTTGGTTTGGACACTGAAAATAAGAGTCAGAGGTGGAGCTCAATGGTACAGCATTGGAAGCATGGTAGCAGTGACAGCAGCCATTTTATACCAAAAAAAAGCAGGCCCTTATCCAATTCCAGGAAGAGATGTCCTGGGTCCATTCCAGAGTCTATGGCTTCCTTCTAGGCAACCTGACCTACAGAACAGAGCACGGAGAGGCCCTATTAGCTCCACCAGAAACCTTGATCCCATAACACATCAGGAAGGAAGATGAAGGGGAAGCTTTTAAAAGTGAGGCCAAAGTAAGTGCAGTTCTCTGTAACTTTGATGGACGGCTGACGCTGTGTGGTGGAGACAGAGAGACTGCCTCTGTGCCCCCCCCCCACGCCAGTCTCTCTAAAGCCACCCCTACACACACCAACCCTGGCTTCCTCCCTACATGAAGGGAAGTTGATATAAAACACATCCAAGGACAGGAAAGGCCACAGCAGGGTAGGTGGGTGCATGAACACCCTTTCCTCTCTCGGGCTTCATGTAGCAGGTCTTCCGCAGCCTCCGAAGGGACAGTCCAGAAAGCCCATACCGAAGCCCGCGAGGCCCTCAGTGCTGACAGCACACACCCACTCTCAGTCCCTTCCACTCACCCTGGAACAGAGATGACCAGAAACTCTGCCCTGCCCCTGTGAAAACTGCCTGAGAGAGCATAAGGCTGTCCTAACTTGCCGGCTGGAGCTTCCCTGTGTGGAGGTGGAGGCCACAACCTATTGCAATGGTAAATATCCGGTGTGCCAAAGCCCTGCAGGGGCATGACCAGGCCTCCTTCCTGACATCTGATTTCCTGTCCAGGCAAAGATCCCAGGGGACTATTGGGCTAAGGGCATGAGCTCAGACACTTTGGTCTGGCCTGTGGGACTGGGAGGAAATGTAGATTCTCAGACTAGGAATGACTCTTAAACATTTAAGATAGTCCATATGATTCAAGATGGTCTGCCTACTCCCCTGGATGACATAGAATGACAGAATTCAAAGATGGTCAACTTTGGTGATCTGATTTGCTTTAGTTAACATCAGTTTGGATTAAAAAATACCTCATAAAAACAATAAAAGATAGTGTGTGTGTGTGTGTGTGCGCGTGTACACGCACACACACATGCACATGCATATGCATGTGTACACTCTTCTTGTGTCCTAATAGGACTGAGACCTAGGGCCCTTTGCAAGCTGGGCAATGCTCTACCACTAAGTAGATCAATTTGCAGTGACTTTTGATTTTGTTTTTGTTGTTGTTTTGATTTTTTTTGAGAACTCTGTAGCCTCCCGTCTCAGTGCCTCTAGTCCTGGGATTATAGGAGTGACCCATCACACCTGATTTTAGAGAGGTCTGAATGTATGCTTTAGTTTGTGTATTCATCTACTCATCTGTTATTCTTTATCTTTGGTTTTAATAATTTTATTTTTGAAATCAAATATAATTTCACCATTTCTCTCTTCCCTTTCAGCTTCCTCCAACTCCTCCCATGTACTTTCAAATTCATAACCTCATCTTCTTTGTTGTTTTACATATATTCCTAAATATAACATCCTCAGTTCATATAATGTTATTTGTATGTATATTATCATTTCAATGCTGACCACCTAGTACTGGATAACTAATTGGGGGCCACTGCCTTGGGGAAGACCATTTCCCCCTCTCTCAGAATTCCTTCATTGCCTGTAACTCTTTGTCTAGAGCTGAGGTTCCATGAGATTTCCCCCTTCCATGTTAGTATGCCTATGGGTATCATCCTTGTTCAGGTCATGCTTAGGTCTTGTAAGACTTCATGAATATAGCTTCTCAGACATTTCTAGGAAATACAATATCACAACAGACTTCCTGCTTCTCTGACTCCCCTTCTTCCATGATCACCCCAGAGCCTTAGGTGCAGGGGTTGTGCTACAGACGTATTCATTGGGACTAGGCTTCACATGATCTCTTGTTCTCTGCATTTGGATTGGCTGTGGTTTTCTGTAATAGTCTCTGCTGCAAAGAGAAGTCTATATGATGAGAGGTGAAACCTATACTTACCAGTGGGTATAAGGTTAAATATTTAGAGTGTAGTTAGGAATTATTCTGATTTAGTAAAGTAATGGTAGTATATTTTCCTCGAATATCTATGATTTCACTAGCCCTGAGTAGATATTTAAGTCTCCAGTATGATCATTGAGCATGTCTCAAGTCCAATTAGACAGCTGCTGGTTACTGCCAAGGTATAAGTGACACTATTACACCCTTAGAACTATTGTGCCATGCTGGTCACTGTCGCAGTCCATAGGCATCACAGCTGGGTAGGACTGTTGGTTGCTTCCTTCCTTTAGAGACTTGTGTGACATCTTCTATACCATGATAGCTAGTCCTCAGAAAGGAGGCTTCAGGGTCAGATCCAGCTTGTGTTCTCCAGGTCCTGTGTCTAAAAACCTCTGGGTCTTCAGTATTTATTTATATGGGGACTGCACACGGGTGATGTTTGAATGAAGGTCTCATGAATCCTGGCAGGCCTCAAACACCATGCTGCTGAGGACCTCCAGCTCCTAAGAGCCCCCTGCCTCCATCTCCTGAAAGCCAGAGTTACAGGCATTTGCCACCCTACCCAGTTTCATACGTTGCTAGAGATCGAATCCTGGGCTGGCGTACACTAGGGAAGCCATCTACCAACTAGACTTGACTTATGCCATTTGTCTTTGCCTAAACAAGGTGCAAAAGTCTTTTTGAGAACATACAGGTGATTTCTGAAGTCTTGATTTAAGTAGTGTTCCTTTCTGAACCAACTTAAATGCAAAACAACTGATTAAAAATTAGTGGCTTTCTTACAAGCAAATGTTTTCCACTGTAGTAGTCAGTGGCTGTTTTCAGAGCGATTTTGTGACATCTATCTATCACAAGAAAAAAGACAACTCATGGCCTTGATGCCTGGACACTTTCAGTTATCATCCCTCTTGCCTCTAATGTTACTTGCATGTTTTGTAACTGAATGTAGCTACTTCTATTCCATGTTCTTTTGGTTCTATGGCAGTAACCCTGATGATCATTCATCATTCTTTTCATGTATTTCACAATACAGCAAAACTTGGAGTCTGGGCTGCCTAAAGCTTGACAGTGAGTATCTAGCGGGTGTCTAGTCTCTCACCCTGACCAGTCTGACATCTCTTCTTAGCTGATCTTCTTGGAAGAAGACTTTCCATGCTCCCCATTCCAGTCCTGGCTCCTCAGGCTTCAGATATGGCCTGTGCACTGTGTGGTGAGTCTGGACTGTAGGAGGCCATTACCCTCCCAAAGCAGCATTTCAATGCTTTGTACCGCCTGGCATTGGTGGCACACGCCTTTAATGCCAGCACTCGGGAGGCAGAGGCAAGCGGATCTCTGTGAGTTCAAGGCCGGGCTGGACCGATAGCCTCCAAAACAATACAGAGAAACCCTGTCTCATAAAAACCAAAAAAAAAAAAAAATCAAATCAACGCTTTGTACCTAGACTCACACAGTACTTCAAAGTAATGCTCATGAGCCTCTAAAACACTCCAGGTGGAGCTCCACTACCCCCAAAGGTTCTGGGCACCTGAAATGTTTTAAGCTCTGACACTACTTTAAAAAAATGTAAATTTCAGAGCTTTTCAGATGTGGGTTTTTTTTTTTTGGATTAAGAATTCACTTGATAAAGACTATGTAAGCATTCCAAACTTCAAATTCTGAAATACTGTTAGTTCCAAGTATTGTGGCTAAAGGATACTGCTATGGTTTGGATATGAGATGCTCTGTGGAGCTAGATAGAAGGCTCAGCAGCTAAGGCACTCTAGACTCTTCCAGAGGACTCAGGTCCTATTCCCAGCACCCACACGGTAGCTCACAGCTGTCTGTAACTCCAGTTCTGGGGAATCTGATGTCCTCTTCTGGCCTCGGCACACACCAGGTATACATGTGGTGCACAGACATATCTGCAGGCAGATCACCCAAACACATAAACTAAAAATAAACTTTATTTTTAAAAAAGGTTGTATACACACACGCACACGCACGCGTGTGTGTGTGTGTGTGTGTGTGTGTGTGTGTGTGTGTGTCTGTGTTTCAACACTTTGTTCCTAGCTGCTGGTGTTGTTCTGGAAGACTTTGGAACCTTTAGCTAGCTTTTCTCACTCAAGAAAGTGGAAAATAGTGTCTGTGTAATGGGTCTTAAGGTTTACTAGTGACCCTACCCCTTGACTTTTCTTTGCTTCCTTCCACCAAGCTTTCTCTATCATGATACCCCTCAAACTAAGAAGCTAAAATAAATGTCCCCTCCCTTAACTTACTTCCTGTCAGACATTTGACCACATCCACAAGAAAAGCAACTGACACAGGTACCGGTCTGTATTCTCTAATCTTCCGACCTCCTGCTGACTGTCCCCCCACCAGTGTGTGGGCTCTGCCAGCAAGGCCATGATGACCCCACCCCAATTACTCCGCTTGCTCCTGCCTTTCAGCCTTTGCTTATGCAATGCCTTAGCTTGCAGCAGTTCCCATCAACCCAGCCAGGCTGGCCCCGCTCCTCTGTGTAGCTTTTGGCCGCTAATGACACAGTATGCCATCATATTTATCATGGCTGGAACTAAGGTAGCTTTCCCACCCAAACAGGCTGTCCTGGTTCTTCGTGGCTGTACCAGGTTCATGGTCAGGGCTCCAAAATCATTCACCCAGTGATCTACAAACCCTATGCTTGTTCCTGCCCTCACAATGACATGTCAACCTCAGAAAGACTCACTGAGCCCTCCCTCACCTGCTAATAGGAGCCTGTGACCCAGCGGACCACACAAGGTGTTCCTGGTGAGGAAATGTGCTTAGCAGCTCGCAGTGGATGGGGAAAGGGGAGCAGCAGAGAAAGAGGTTGAAAGAGGGCTTCAACACAGACGTCCTGAGTTAAAAATTTTTGCTATGACACCCAGAACCTGCATTTTAACAGTGCATATCCAACCTTCAGTAAATGACACAGGGAGAGTGACATGTCTGTAAACACCTGCATGACATGTACATTTTAAAATCCTCTGTGTGTGTGTGTGTGTGTGTGTGTGTGTGTGTGTGTGTGTGTGCGTGCGCGCATGTGTGTGTGCCTACATGTTCCTGTGCTATGGCCACATTCTGCGGCCTGACGACAACCTCTGGTATCAGACCTGATCTCCTACCTTGTTTGAGACAATGTCTCTGTTGCTTGCAGCTGCATACACAGGCTTAGCTGACCCTAAAGGTTCCATCATTCTCCTGTCCCTATTTCCCATCTCCCTGTAGAAGTTCTGAGATTACAGATACACACACTACTATTCTCAATTTACATGAGTTCTCAGGATTCAAACCCAGGCACACATGCTTGCACCCACACACTTTATCCACACAGCCAGCCCCCCATCCTACATGGACAATTTTAATGCAGCACTTTATCTTGATAATGGGACTGCTAACTTAGCAGCTTATCCCACATGATGAGTGTCCTGGGGGGTTAAGCATTAACTACTGCTTGTTTTATGCCATGACACCTTAGATGCTCATATAAAATTTCAAAGAATTTTGGTTCATATTGCTTTGTTTAAATGATGATATTGCACAATCCCAAATGTATGCAAAACCACCCAATTGTATAATGTTGGCCAACAGACAGTATGGTATATGGGTGACATGTCAATAAAGCAGTTCTGGATACTTGCAGATCCATTGCAATTTATTGCCCCTAAAAAAAGAACGAGAGATACAATCAAGTCCCCAGGCTTACCACACTCCTAGAGGCTAGAGTGGACCTTGGTACTTGACTAATGTGTGAAAGGACCAGGTTTGATCCCCAACACCATCAAAGAAAACAATGTACTCACGGGATGAGCCACCACGCACTGCTTCACATGTGCCAAGCCTGTAAACAGCTTGGAAGGCAGCAGACACGAGCTGGAGCTGCTTAAGACGACTCTGTCGTCCACGATGCGATCCAGCTGGGCAAAAATCTTCTTCTTCAATTCCAGGTCCTCTGGAACACATTCCTGAAAGGGACACATTTGGATGACTACTTATGATCAAAACAGCAGTCAGGCTGTGATTGCTTTTGTTCCTAAAATGAATTAATCTGGAAATGATGGATCTAGGGACCCATAACCCTAGCACAGGGCACCTTGAAAACAACTGAGACAGGAAGTTTTCCTGGCTTTTTTCCTGGCCTTCCCCCGTGCAGAAGCTATAAGACAGTTTTCTGCTTTTCCTAGAAGCAGATCACAAGACCCTCTACAGGAGGTAGCCTGAGATACACAAAGGGAAAGGGAGACAGACACGATAGACCTACCCAGAAGGCCTTGCTGACTCCTTAGGTGAGAATCCCTTTGTCCACTATTCATCTTACCAGCTGTAAAACCATGGGATTTCTTTGATCCTCCCTGCTGACTAGTCCTGTGCCACATAAAACTTTATTAAATCAAGGTGTGTGTTCTTATTGGTCTCTATTTTACTCATGGAACCTCAGCTATAGACCTTGTCAGAGGTGAGAAAATATCACCCCCACAGAGCACACCAGGATTTTAAGAGGGGAAGAGACCACTGAAAGGATGTGAACACTCCTGGCAGGGACTAATGATGCAGGGACTCACTCGCTCACTCGCTCCACTGCTGGTTTTAGACAGGTCTGAACCTTTCATGCTAAGAGGCCCAGGCTGGGGATCAGCTCTGTGAGAAGGCACTTGCCTAACATCTGGAGGCAACCCTGCTTCCATTTCTCAGAGCCAGGGCTGCGGGACCCTGCCAACTGAAAATCCCCATGATGAAAAAGACCACAGGGAGATGGATCCTACAACAGGGCTCACAAGAGCCCTCCAGCAAACTGCTATAACCCGAGTACTTTCACCGCCACATACTTCCCCTATCTGCCCTGACCATCACATCCAGGATCTTCAAGGGAAAATCTCATCCTCCTACAATGAACATACACATTGCACCTGTAACTCCCAGAGGCGCCCCAGGACCCATTTCTAATTGGGAGTCCTTTTGAAAAAGACCTTTGTTTTTAACAATTGCAAAGTACTAAATGGGGTGGGCAACTGGATAGAAAAGATAGGGGAGTGACTTTGGATTAATTACACTGATAACAACCACTCTGAAATTCTAATTACAGGCCTAGGTGGGGCTGAGATGGCAATCTCAAACAGCCCAGGCTGGCCACAGGTAAGAGATGTTCCTGGGAACTTGGAGTTGAGGAGGACACCCTGCTCTGAATGGAAGCAATGCATGAGGAAGTGCCTTCCTGCACCTATGGGGATCACATGGGGTCACAAAGAGGGTCACTCAGCCTGGGTGACAGGAGACCCCCAACTTAACCTTTGTGACATTCACTTTCTTTTCACAGTGACCCCAAAGCCAAGGATTAGAATCAGTTAGGTGTTCCTTAACCACAAAACCCCAAGCTCCCATCTGAACCTACTGGATGGAGTTACCTGCTTTTTCACAAACATCCCAGTGATTCCTTAAGCTCAGCATTACCATTCTGAAGCTCAGATGCAAAGTGCATTGTCATCACGTAAAGAGTGGCCATGCCCCACACTTGGAATTCTACCAATGTCAGGAGCCCCCATCTCCTAGCTCAGTGCTTCTCAACCTTCCTAATGCTGCGACCCTTTAATACAGTTACTTCTTCATGTAGTGGTGACCCAACCATAAAATTATTTCGTTACTACTTCATAAATGTAATTTTGCTACTGTTATGAATTGTAATGTAAATACCTAATATGCAAGATATTTGATATGTGACCCCCTTTGAGTTGTGATCCACAGGTTGAGAACCACTGTCCTAGTGACTCACAGCAATTAACACAATCACACTAGTATTTTGGTCACTTCAATGACTCTAATCACCTAGCCAATTTTACTGGAACATTATATTTATGAAACATTTAAGGTAATGAAAAAAATTCAAGAGCCCAACTGCAAAAACTCAGTGTCTAAGTGATATCAGAATCACTCCTCACAAATAAAAACTGTCAGCCAGACAATAATCCCAGCATTTGAGAAGTGGGGTGTGGTGACCAGTCCCCCATTTTAGCAGCCATTACAGGCTAACATGTGCTTGCATGACCTTGCCGCTCCTGTCTTGGTCACTATGGTCAGATGCCTCCTCGTGGCAAGGAACCAATCAGAAGTTAGCTGGCGGGGCTGTGCTTTACGGCTCTGGGTATGCTTTACGGACAGCACACAACAGTGACCTGCAGAACATAGCAACCGCCCTGGGAGGGCCTATGGGCCATAACAACCAGTTGACCAATCAACACAGGGCGGGTCACCCAAACCTAGAAGCACACCAATCCTGAGACTGTTTCATGCCCCTAGACCCTCCCCTTACGCTGCCCTTTAAGATCCCTGCCTCAAGGTTGCTTGGGGTCTTTCTCCAGCCATTCGCCATGGTGGCGGGGTGAAGGGCCCGAGCTAATGGGGTTAGCTCGTTTAACATCTACAATAAAAGACTCTTTGCTTTTGCATCAAAATGGGCCTCTTGGTGATTTTGGGGTTCAGAATTTGGGCACAACAGGGGCAGGAGGATCAAGAAGGTCAAGGCCGCCTTCTGCTGCACAGTTTGATAGTGGGCAGTGCTACACTGTGTCTCAAAAGAATACATAACTAATAAAAATAGATAAATAACCCAGGGGCTGGAGAGGAGGCTCCGAGGTTAACAGCATTGGCTGATGGTACAGAGGACCTGGGTTCAGTTCCCAGCATCCACAGGGTGGCTCACAACCACCTGTAACTCTAATTCTGGGGCTTCCAATGCTCTCTTCTGTGGGCACCAGGCACACCCATGGTACAGATACGTACACAGGCAAAACGCCCATACACGCAAAATAAAATTTTAATTTTTAAAAATCTTATTCAAATGGGATAACACTGTGTTTATTTAAAAGTATAATCAGGCCACATGAAATTTTATTAAGAAGGAAAAACCATATAAGCATCACATCTCATACACAGAAGGAAAGAATGGAGTCATTTAAGAACTGTAAAGCCCATTGTGTTCTGTCCCCTTATCAAAACGGGAAAAGGAGCTACAGTAGCTGGCTGTCCCTATTGAGTCACTCCTGGATCAGTTAAGTCCGTGAGGCGGGTTCGGTTTAAATGGAGCCTTGTAGTCAAGCCAGAGGTGAAGACCGACGCAGGGCTTGTATGAGCCTGGAGAGAAAGGACTCATTGTCCACCACCCTGCAGATTCTCCTCTGAAATTCTACGCCTTTCTCCAGATCGTTTGATCATGACAGAGGCAAGAAAACTTGAACCACAGGAAACCCAAACCTTCTGCAATTATGTAAGGGTTTCCAGTGGCCTGCTGGCTTGAAATTTGGTTGCTCTTGCTGTTGTAACCCAGTTGTACGAGATGGATGGAGCCACAGACCTCAGGCTTCGATCAATGCCACGCGCTAGGCTCAGTTCCCTGTTATCCACTAAGGTAGCCCAGGTCTATAAAAGGGAGTGGGTCATTTTAATCAGGATCTCAGCCCCCAAAGGCTGCAATCCTGGCCCTTCAGGGCTGCAAAGATGGGACCAACAGCTTTGACAGAGGAATGTGGATATGACCCTCCAGCTTCTCCGGTCAGTCTGCCTAGGGCATATTTCTATAAAAAGCTACTATGTGTGAAGTATTTGCAATGACTGCCACACCAGCTTGCCTGTCTAATTAACCTCTGACCATAGGGAGCTGATTTACTACTATTTGTTTGTTTGTGTTTATTTGAGGGAGTAGGAATACCACATCTAACAAATAATATGGTCACATACAACCAAAACTATATGCATGCCTAGATTTAGGCAAGCAAAACTAAAGAGTGAACACTTGGGAATTAAATTATAACAAAACTTCCCAGCCACACAATTCTTTTTTTTTTTCATTTAAGTTAGAAACAATCTTGATTCACATGTCAATCACAGCTCCCTCTCCCTCCTCTCCTCCCCTGCCCTCCCCACCAGGTCCCCCAGTCCCCCACCCAATCTCCACTCCAATCCCCAGGGAAGGTGAGACACTCTATGGTGGATCTCCAGAGTCTGTCATTTCATCCAGGGCAGGGCCTAGGCCCTCCCACAAAAGTCCAGGCTAAGAGAGCATCCCTCATTGTGGGATGGGCACTCGAAATCTATTTGTACGCCATGGATAAATACTGATCTACTACCCAAGGCCCCATACCTAGGCCTCTTCACTGACACCCACATTCAGGGGGTCTGGGTCAGGCCCATGCTTTCCACACAGCCATCAATCTGGGGTCCAAGGGCTCCCCCTTGTTCAGGTCAACTGTTTGGGTTAAACCAGCCCACTCTTAGCCGGGCGGTGGTGGCGCATGCCTTTAATCCCAGCACTCGGGAGGCAGAGGCAGGCAGATCTCTGTGAGTTCGAGGCCGGGCTGGACCGATAGCCTCCGAAACAATACAGAGAAACCCTGTCTCGTAAAAACCAAAAAAAAAAAAAAAAAAAAAAAAAACCAGCCCACTCTTAACTCCTTTGCTCATCAATTCTCCCTTTCTGACAATGAATTCCACGAGTTCAGTTCAGTGTTTGTCTGTGAGTGTCTGCCTCTGCTTTCATCAGTTGCTGAATGAAGGTTCTGTTTCCTAGACTCTCTGGCAGTGGGATTGTATGCTGGCACTCCCCTGATTCATGTCTAAAATCCATATGTGAGTGAGTACATACCATGTTTCTCTTTTTGTGACTGGGTTACCTCACTCAGGATGGTTTCTTCTAGTGCCATCCATTTGCCTTCAAATTTCAAGATTCCATTGTTTTTTTTTCCGCTGAATAGTACTCCATTGTGTAAATGTACCACATTTTCTCTATCCACTCTTCAGTTGAGGGGCATCTAGGTTGCTTCCAGGTTCTTAATGATTGCCAAAATCAGCTTCTTCCCTTAGTTTGTTTGAGGCAGGGTCCCACAGCCCAGGCTAGCCTCCCACTCTATATAACTAATGCTGACTCGGAACCCTGACCTTCCTGCTTCTGCTTCTCTGCCATCCCAGGCATAAGCCA